CTGGGAGTTTCAGAGACTAACTTTTAATGGGAGTGGAAAGCCTTATCTTTCTCACAAGGAGCAGCTGGTCGTTTCAAACTGCTGGCCTTGCCATTATCAGTTCAACTCACAACCACCACGCCACCAGACCAAACCATAAAACAAACAACACACTGCCATCAAATCAATGCTGACTCAGCAAACCCATAGGACATCGTAGAACTGTCCCTGTCAGTTAACTGGAGTGGAAAACCTGTGTTTCTTTCGCTACAGCACCATGGGTAGGGAAAAAGCAGTGAGCACCTTATTAGGTCAATTAACCAAGATGTCCCATGAAGTCATGGTGCTGAATCTCCAAACCAAGAAGTCTTATCGCATGAGGTTGTACATAATAGCTTCAGCAGCTCTTTGTTGTTGCAGTTGTTATCAATATATGTATCACATAACATTTGCCAATTGAAATGTTGATAAATGTACTGCTTTTTGACTTCTTTTACATTAATCAGTTGTGCAACCCTATCTTTAAGCAAGCATTACTAGTTTAGGTTGGTCTTGCTAGGACTTGAAGCAAAATTCTAATAAAGTTAATGTTTATATCTGCAAAGATTTTTAAAAATGGAAACAAGACAACCATTTATAGGAGCAAAAGTGGAACAGTAATAGGAAAGCAAAAGGCCAAGGAACCTATTCATCGAATGAAAATGCTACAACTCAAATGCTACTTGATTTTAAGGTTTGAAGTCAACTTTGAAGGGTAAATGAAAAATTATCCTTTTGACTCAAATAAGAGATTTTATTTTGGCTTAGGAAAATTTGAAGGCAAAAATGTATGTATTTAAGTCATCATGTATCAGTTCACTTTTTGCCTTTTCTGGTCATTTTAATAATTATGCTTTATAGACATTTAATACTTCAGAGTGATTTCCCAAGGTTCATTTTTCTGACACTACAAATACAAATCCGTCTTTTGAATGTGGTAGTCGTTTACAGAGTCTCTCTGTGTCACCTTTTGTTAAAATTGAGCCAACCTTTATCTGAATGCTCTTTCCCCCTCACAGTCTATCAGCGTGGGACAGCCCTTCAGCTTGCTAGTGAACGCAGACACTGGTAGTCACGCTCTTGACCCATGCACTAAGGTACTGCAGAAGTTGGAAGATGAGGTTACTGAAAGACAAAAAGTTATCTAGTACCTTTTAAGTTCCATGCAGGTTACATATGTTATTTCTTTTTCTATTCCCATATTTGAGTGGTTGGGGTGAAGCATAGGGGTAATTTTTAATAAATCACACTAGATTCTTGAATTTTTCAGGGTATTTCCACATAGTTGATGTTTTCAAGTGGTTACACAACTATATCAGATCAACACTATTACAGTCAGTTTAGAGACAAGCAGGCCCAGAACAGTAACCTATGTGCATGTTCTAATAGTGAACAAGAGACAGAGGCAGAATGTGCACCCACCTATCTGTCGAGACTGGCTCTTCCCCAGACACCACCTGCCTGCTAGCCGTGGCAAACTAACTCCACGCTACAAAATGTGCTCAATTTGTCATCCTTATTTAGCATAGCCTTTATAATGACTGGCTGTCATCTTGTACTTTTTTTCTTTTAGAAGATTGCACTATCAAGACGATATGGTCTTACAAGGAGGGAGACACTGCCTGGGCTGTCTGCTCTCGGGGAATATTGTAGAATATAGAATTGAATAAAATATGGGTAACCTGGTATGGTGCTAGGTGAAGTGGAATTGTGTTCACTCTGCACCAAGCAGAAAGTCAATACATTGCAAGCCGGAAATCACCAAGGAGCAATGTGCTTGGAAACTCAATACAGTAATAAGTAACTTGGTACTGTGTCCATGAGAGGACCCTTATTGTTCACCAAAAAAATGTTAATGCACTGCCCCTTGGTGTCAGTTATCCCTGAATTTTTAAAATACACACATAAAAGAAATCAATGTGAGGGTTTTTCTTCCTTGAAGTTTGCTATAGTCTTCCTGATATTAGAGAGGCAAAAACTCTATGGGATTATTATTTAACAGCCTGGCAGCTTTTGTTCTGAAATTGAAGGGAAATTGAACAGATCCAGAATATGCATTTTGTGTAAGGCTTATAATTACATACATATAATTAAAAATTAAATTAAAACAGGCTGGTTCTCTCTACACAAAATGCTTTGTCTCTGTTATCAAATCACTGTATTAGTGGTAATTATGAACACAGACAATGATAATATACCCTTTGCATTGTTTCCATTGAATAGCTCTGCCTAGACAGGCACCAGCCCATGTTACTCAACACTCCAGAGAACACCAGGTGCTTACTGGGTGCCCACTAGATGCTAGGAGTCCTGGGGGTGATGTTGGGCAAGTGTTGGTCTGCTAATTGCAAGTTCACCAGCTCAAACTCACCAGCTGCAAACACAGGAGAAAGATACGGGGTTCAGGAACCCTACTTAGCATCACTGTGTCAGAATCAACCCAATAGCAGTGTTTTGGGGTTTGTTTGTTTGTTTTTATTTTCTGTATGCTAGATTCTTTTTAGGCTGTGCAGAAAGAACAGAGACTCCAACAAATCCTGCCTTGTCTTGGATCACATTGATGGCGAGAAAATTGAGGGCTGAGTTATATACTTATTGTAATAAGTGTTTTAGACACTTTCCCAACCACGGAATAGAGATTTTGAATCTAGCTTGGAACAGAGGTAGGAAGAGTCTTCTGAGAGGGATGTGTAGGAGACAGTGACTCTCGCGGGGAAGAGAACCTGGAGGGAGCCAATCTGTCGGGTGACAATCTATCTGAGTTTGGGGAAGACTGGCATCTGGGAAGACCTAGAGATCAGAGACTGCATAGACCACGTGACAAACTCAGATTTTGAATGGCTGACCTTGCAGTTAACAGCCCAGCTTGTACCCACCATGTTACTGGGGTGCCTCTCAGGAGGGTGGGCGTGAGGATAACAACCAAACCAAAGACACCACATGCACAGCCATCTGATTCAGATGAGCAGGGATCCTCCAGGACAGAGTATCGAAGGTATTCTCCAGAGACGAGTTCCTGGGTAAGGACACCATGCTTGGTAAAATGGAGAGGCACCAAAAAAGAGGAAGGCGCTCAACAAGATGGACTGACATCATGGCTGCAACGATGCACACAGACATAGGAACAAGTGAAAATGGCAGAGGACCGTGCAGTGTTCTGTTGTGCACAGGGTCTCAATGGATCGGACTGGCGCGAAGACACCTGACAACAGCAACGGAGGACAGAGTGGTGCTGCCCCTGGGGGGTTCTGAGGTGATGTAAACCTTTACCGGAGTGGAAAGCTTCCTCTTTCTCCCACGGAGCAACTAGTGGGCTTAAACTACTGACCTTGCAGTTAGCAGCCCAATTTGTAACCCACTCCATCACCAGAGCTCCTTAAGGAGGGAAACAGGGGCCAGAGAGGGTTAGGCCTTGAGCGGTAAATAAAGAGCTGACACAGGGAACTCATAAAGGGCCCAGTAAGCGAAGTTCAGATGTTTAGACTTGATGCTTTGTGAGGGGTTGTTGTTATGTGCTTTAGGGTCAGTTCCGACTGATAGTGACCGTGTGTACAACAGAATGAAACATGGCCCAGCCTGTGCCATCCTCACAGTTGATCTTATGTCTGAGTTCCTTGAGCAGCCATGTGTCAGGCCATCTCATTGAGGGTCTTCCTCCTTTTCCCTGCCCCTCTACTTTACCAAGCATGACGCCCTTCTCCAGGGACTGGTCTCTCCTGACAACACGTCCAAAGTACATGAGATGACCATCCTTGCCTCAAAGGAGCATTCTGTATGTACTTCTTGCAAGACGGATTTGTTTGCTCTTGTGATTTTGAAGGGTAGTATGCAAAAATGTAAGGCGCTCTAGTAGTGCTCTAAGCGCTTGGCTGTTAACCAGTCAGCGGTTTGAGCCTACCAACCACAGCTAGAGAGACTCTAGTTTAGGGAAATCCCCACGGGGCGGCTCTCCTCTTTCTAATAGTGCCTGGAGCAACAAGATGCCAATGGGGTTTTCGAGCTTAAGGGGAGAAATGGTTCTTAAGAAAGACGTTCTGCTGTTGAAGGGAGAATAAAATGGAGAAGATAGGACCAGTTGGAGGGTTTTGCAGCCATCCAGGGCCTAGGTGACTGCTAGTGGCCTCACCTGGAAGATGGGCAGTATTACTGATTTTGAGCAGAAATGGACAGGTTTGATAGGTGATTGACAGGACCAAGTGACTGAATATAAATGGTGACAGAGGGTGACCATCTCCTACTTAGGCAACTGAGTCTGTGGCAGACAAGGAACACAGGAGGGGCACTATATTTGCAGGGGGTAGATGATGAGTTTAATTGCATTGTTCCCGTAGGGCGGGAGTGAGGGAGGGGGTGGATAGACAAAATCACCTGAATGACTATACAGGTGCAATTGCGTCTAAAAGTCAGAAACAGCTCTTTTTTTGATGTTAATCTCAGATGCTGACAACTGAGACATGATGAGAGCCTTCAACATCCATGGGGTACTTTGGGATGTGGCTACAAGACAGGCTGGGGATATCAGTCATGACTGGGAAGACATCATTTCTCCAATCAACATCTGCTCTTCTCTCTTCTTTTCCAGGGAAGGTCAGGGTTTGGAGCTGCAGTGGTAACTTCCTCTTTGAGGACAGGGACTGCCGTTTATTCATCTATGGGCCTCTAGGCCTAGCACAAGGAAAGGTCACCTTGCACAGAGGTTTGCACGGTCTTGTCACTGATATTGACTCAGAGAGGCCTCCTGAAGGCAATGGTGGTCAGTGACTTCCAGGCAGTCTCCGGGATCGTGCGTAAGTTACAAAGCAGAACATGGCTGTTATTGTGACTCTACTCTCCCTTATGTACTCCATCTCACCTCCTTCCTCTTTCCTTGATAGCCTAACTATTGGCATCCTGATTTCTTTCAAGGACCGATGCCTAATTTATCAAAGTTTCTACTACTTCATAAAACAAGGGGTGGGGGCTACAGTCTCTACGGCACAGAATACCGTATCTCTCCCTTTGGGAGAGGGATTTTTCACTTAGCATTCAAGTGCCTTACCGCTGTACCATCAAGTCTCTTTGCTGTGCCAGCCTGTTCTAATTGAAACCACCATTCTTTAACTATGACAGCAGAGCTGATACATTTGAAAGCGCATGCCCCAACATGCTTAGCCATGTGTGACCCTGTAAATTCTGCAGGTTGTCCAACAACTCTAATCTGTGAGTTCTTGTATATGTATACCTCATACATAATCTATGATTAACCTGCACGTTCCTTCCTGATCACCTACTTCTTTTGAGCAATATCCTCCTGGGAATGGATCCCACCATAGCAAGCAACTATCAGTTATAACCAGATCTGACCCACTGAACACGCATAGTAAGGACAGTTGCCACATTTGATCCTGGAACAAAATAACTCTTGTTGAGGAGCAAAAAGTCACCACAAGGACGTCACTAGACCAACTAGAACAGCGTTTGCAGATAGCACACCCCGGCCAAGCATGGTCACTCCCTTGACACACATTCATGGTCATTCCTCAGAAGTCTGCTGTTGTTGTTGTTAGGTGCCTTGGAGTCATTCCCCACCCATAGTGACCTCTGCTCAACAGAGGGAAATGCTGCCTGGGCCTGCACCATCCTCACAATTGTTCCTGTGCCTGAGCCCATGGTTAAAGTCACCGCGTGTGTCCTTCTCCGAGTATTGGTCTCTCCTGTCAACCCATCCAAAGTATGTAACATGAAGCCTCGCCATCCTTGCTTCTAAGGAGGACTTAGAAGTCCACTAAGGTGGACTTCTGCCAAGACAGAGTGGTTTGTCCTTTTGGCAGTCCATGTACTTTCAATATCCTTCTCCCTCACCAGAGTTCAAATGCATCAATTCTTTAATCTTCCTTAGCCAACGTCCACATTTCACATGCATGTGAGACCATTGAAAATACCACGAACATATGCCACATATGCATAATTCACTCAACTTACTCCCTCGTGTATGTGTGTAAAACTGAAAATCCCCTGTTTGCCCCCAACCGCCACCCCTGGAGGTTACCTTGGCTACTCTAGTTCTGGGTTGCTCCTTGCTTGATCCATCAAATGCACCCCTCTCCCTCTCACGTCAATGGAGTCTCTTTGCTCCTTAAGCCCTGCCTGCCGAGAAACCGAAGTTGGTAACAAATTCACAGAAAGATGTGACTAAGTCTTCCAACATAAAAATTCTATTGCTTGTTCAAAGAGAATGACTAGCCTAATATTAGCCTAAGTGACTATTATTGTTTATAAATTTGACTTTGGAAAGCGTCTAGTGTCTCTGTGATTTTTCCATCAATAATTGCCAGTCTTTCCGTAGCTGTATCTCTCAAGCCTCCTGTGCCTGGCAGGCGTCTGTCTGCAACTTACACTAGGAGGTGTTACTTGGGCTGAGAAGCTAAGAAGTAAATTTTTTGAGAAATAAATTCTCAAATGATTCTCAAAGAAGAAAATCATGAACTTAGGGGAAATGATCCATTTGTACTATTTCAAATTAAAGAAAATAATAACAAGGCAATCAAGAACTACGCGCTCTTGTGTTTGCAATGGTAAAAGCTATGGTCCACAGCACCTGGAAAATGTCCCACTTGTTGGTGGGCCCACCTGTAAAAATCTGACTAGCTTTGCCTGAATCTGAATGAAGGTGGAGTAGGGTCGCTTCATGTGTGAATCCGGGATAAACGATTTTGGATCACTCAAGCAGTTGATTCCAGGGTTTTAATTTCACCTTCTGCAGCAAAAATCCCTAGGGAATCTGCCCTTTGAACATGATCATTCTTATGTACATAAGATCATTAATAAGTACAAATGCTTCAATTTTATACATGCTATAGAGTGACCAGACCAGAATTCACATGCTATAACCCACTTGTCTTGAATGTTTTCTAAGGAGCCAGCTGATTGCTGGCAGCCAGATGCAGTGTAGTCGTTTGGGATAGCAAGTCAGATAAATGTGATTCTGAGCAAGGTCAGAAAATCCCAGGGACATTTTCTTCATGAGAATGCCCAAGGAAGCAGACCTGTGTGGAAATCATAGCCAACTTTTGTCAGTTAAAAAGTTTGTGCTCAACAGGAACTTGATTCTTATTTGTCTGAAAACTCTAGGGTGTTTGGGCTCATGACATGGGAGGGAGCTTTGTAAACTCATAGACTATCAGGGCTAGAAGAAACTAAGTAGATAGTCTAGTCTCATCCCGACATTTTTGCGTTTAACCAACTGAAGCATGCATAAGAAAATGTGTTGCTTTATCTGGCAATTGTTGATTAAGAGTCTACTAGGTTCAGATATGGTAGTAAGTATCTGAGAGACACATAAATCAACTTGATCACTGATCTGTGTGCAGTTGGTGAGGTAAACCCATAAATAAAGAGTTTCAATAACTATGAAAAGCATTCTAATCCTGTTGTTGACCGAGTCAGCAGAGACTGATGTTTGAGCTTGAAGAAAGTGGGGAAAAAGCAACAAAGGAGGCAAGGGGATCAGAATCTTAGGTGGGCTGACTGCATTTAGAAAAGTCTGATCTCTCCGTGGGCGGGTGTGAGAGGAATTTGTGGAGACAGTTATGAGACTTGTCCAAAATCATTAACTTTTGACCTATTGAAATATAAGCATCTCAGTCTAGACCTTCAAGTAAATCTTAATACCATTTTTCTTCCATTGAGTCTAACTTGTGTATCCTAGTTTTACTAGACCAGACTTGGCAGCTTTCCCCAAAGCATCGGATTGTGTTCATATGCTGCCAAACTTCTTGGGGCAGCCTACTGTTCTGCTGACCATGTGGAGTAGTTTTGTGAGCTGCCTAAATCAACCAAAGCTCTCTTACCTTATCCTGTTTCCCCCGCTAGCCTGCAGCAAGCTCATAACCCCTGCCCGGTAGAAAGGTCCAAAAGGACCTCATCGTTTTGAAAGTACCTGAGTACATCTATGTGTGCACATAATTGAAGTGCCTTCTGAATAAAGTCATTGTTTTCCAATCATTCACTAAAGGAGAACAACTGAAAAGCTAGCAGTTGGGGGATGTTTTATCTTCTGTGGAAAAAAGAAAAAGATGTACTGTACTCTCTCTTGATTTTAAGACCAATCTACTGCCCTTGTATGCAGCTTCCAGGTCTTACCTCTGAATTCATTAATGGCAGATGTTTTCCCCAACCCCATGGTGTCTAGGTATATTCAATGTACTTTTATAGGCTGACTGAAAAGTCTGATAAAATAGAGGTTAAGATCCACTGCTACTAGCAGCCCCAGGACATTCTCTTGTCCCTTAAAAATGGTGAATCCTGCTAAAATTCCTTTCCATTAATTATTAATAACAAAGGCTTATTTTGGAGTCTCCTCTCTGCATTTATAATGCTATTCATTCTCTCCTATATCCCCTTAGGATCCTTTGTCCTTATTAAGATGCAATGATACCTATTCTTCCTTGCTGTTTCTCTTTCAGGTGAATGTACGTTTTGTACCTATAAAGGTTCCACAGTTTGGTCCGGGACGCCAACAAAAAATTCTTACTAGAAGAAAGAAAAGATTGTAGCTGAAACCATGAACCTTAGAGAAACATGAGTTTCTTCACTTATTAATGACCTCCTGTGTGCTGAGGTACCATTTTATATTCTTTCAGATAATGAACAAAATGAAGAGGATAATCAAGGACCATGTGTATACGTGTTTGCAACCACAAAAGCTATGATCTATATCTGGAAAATGTCTCTTCACTGATAGTTTGAGAATATTAAGATAAATAAAACCAGTCTGCATCAACAAGGAGTTAGTCAAGGGTAGATGACCAATGGGTAAGCCAACTGTTGGTTTATTATGTGGCTAGTGTCATATCAGACTAGATGTGGTATGCCTACAAGGCTGGAGGCACATGGAGGAAGGGCCATTAACTGCATCCTGGCTGGAGGATGGAAAAACAAAGAGAATGCAATTTCTGGGAGAGATAAGTTAAGTTGATTGTTCAGAGTGAAATTGGATAGCTATTGAGTGGAAGAAGGCAAGGAGAGAGAATGGAGGAGGAGAGAAGGAATAGAGCATGGTGGGATGAAAGGAACCATCCTTTACAAAGTCATGGAAATCAGAGATGGCATGATATACAAAGGCGCAGGCAAGGTGAACTGTTAACCAGAGGATAAAGATTTTCACTGATGGGATCTAAGCTGACACTACTGAAAATCTAGTAAACATCCTTTCCCATAACATTAGCTCACAAATATTGATTGAATAGGTGACTGTGGTCCATATTATTGTAACTAGATAAGAAAAATGTGGTCAAGGCTATTGTCATTGTATTGTTCTGAAGCCACCTAGTAAGTAAAGAAGAAGGGGACTTTATTCTGTTCTTCTGGTTTCATGAGTGGCACACTGAAGATGCCTTGTGTCCATGCACAGAAGCCGTTGTGAGGCATCCTTTCTCAAAAGGAAGTCCTGGTAGCCCTATTCAAATTAGCAACAACTTTCTCTATGTCTTTTGGGAGATACCTGTAATATGATCAAGTGCGAGTATGAATTCAAGTAGGAAAAAAAAAAGTGTCTGTTTTCAAATGAAAGGAAAGCACTCAATGAGTTAAAGAGAGAAACCAAAGATGAAGAAGATTAAGGAACACGGAAGAGAAAATGGAAAGTAATTAGAGTTCACTGAGCTAAAATATGATTTAAAGAGTTCTCAAAAAGGTGCCAAGGTGGGAAAGAAAGCGATTAGATTGCAAAATTTCTAAAGGCTGGCAAAAGCTTTAGGGGAAATCAAAGAACTGTTACCAATTCAATAGAATTTTATATTATTTTAGGGAATCAAGTAACAGTCCATTAGCTGCAAAGCCCAAGATTAAGAAAAGTGCTAAAGATCAGACGCCTTCTAGAAGCTTCATACATCTAAAAGTTTGAGCCTAGCAGCATATTGGTGCTAGAAAAGCCTGAGTAGTCATCTGCTGGCTCCCTCTCTTTACAGCCAAAGAAACTGAGGCCAACGAGGTAGTATTCCATCTACATGTGGTTGAATCAAGTCCCATAATGCTGGCACTTGATTATAAACCTCCGACGCCAAACTCAAGGCTTGTCACGGAACTGGATTTCAGTTTAGAGTATGGATTTCTAAAATTGGCTATAGCACCATCCTGTTCTACACGCAGAGAAATCATAGAGCATGTCCCAAAGAACTCTAGACTAACAATGGGAAGCATCCGGAGAAAATGACACAATAGAAGGTGAGAAGATCAAGCAGGATAAAGTGGCAATATTAGTTTTCAGTGGCTATATTCTAAAATCTGAGTCTGTAGCCTCCTCTTTCTTTGATTCAATTGTATAGTTCAGCTCTTTGTCTCAAATCTCGAGAGGCATAACTTTAGCTTTGTTATCTGAAAATGGGGATCAGAAATGAGGTTTTATGGAAAGATTAGGATCATTTTATGATCGAACCTAGCCCATTGGAGGTTCCTTTACTGCTCCTATTATAAAGACTCCGGAGATGAACTTCAGCAGTCGGAGTCTTGCCTTGGCTAGCACATGAAACTTCTAACTCAACCTTGATTCCACTGTCCCACAGACATACTTATGGCTTCCAACCTGCTTGTTTTTGCCCCACTTGCTAAAGAATCTTTGAGTCTGCTGTTGAACTTAGCATGACCGTCTTAAGAAATAGGCTGTAAATATCCAGAGAGTTGTGCCTCTGGATGAACAGATGTTCTCACATCGATGATGACACCCTCCTCTGGCAGCTTCTACTTCAGATGCTCCCCCGGGACCCAGGTGGTGTGCTGGTTACGAGCTGGGCTGCGAACCATCAGCTCAGCAGTTGGAAACCACCAGGTGCTCCTCCAGAGAAAGAGAGCGCTTTCTCCTCCCGTGAAGCCTCATGGTCTCAACAGCTCACAGGGTTTACTCTGACTTTTAGGGTTGCTATAGTGAATCTGTTTTTGTTTTTTTCCTTTTGTTTACATAGCACAAATGCTGTGCAGTACTAACCTAAAGGTTGGTAGTTCAAATCCACCCAGACATTCCATAGAAGAAAGTCCCGAAAATCTGTTTTTGTCAAGATTACCGCCAAGAAGACACATGGGAGAAATTCCACTTCTGTAACACATGGGGTAGCCTTGAGTTCATTTGAGTTTGGTGTTTGGGGAGCTGTCAAAAGGTCCTTCAATGGTGCTGTATCTTCAGAGGCCAAAATAGCCCACAATTTCTTAGGAAAATGGACATTTAAGGAGGTGACTGATGCTATTACATGAAGGTAACTGGTAAGATAAAAGGTTGGGAATTAGACAATGAAACTAAATAAGAAAATGCAGTTAGCTCCTGTTATGGCTATAAAGTTGGAGATTTAAAGAAAACTGACCTCTATTCTGACTTATGCACCACAATCAAAACAATCATTAACACGTTCCTATTAAGAAATCTATGGCAACCAGCTACATTTAAGTCCCCTAAATTAAAAATCACTCTAAATAAGACAGAGGATTTATTTAGCTCAGCTGTTACAACTTTGTCTCTCAGACATTTCTTATGCATCATGCAGACAACTAATATTTACAATATCTCAACAGCTATACAAGAAATACTTTAGTTGGTACTTTGTTATCATCCTTATTTGGGCAGATGAAAATGTAATTTTTACAAAACCCTTGAAAAAAATAGTCTGGGATTCAATATTGTTATTTTTGAAAGCTCTCTTGGGCAGTTTTCTTTGATTGTGTTCTCAAATGTTTTAATCTTGTCATTTTTGCTCAAGGACCAGCAGTGACTCCCTATTGATCCTTACGTTTGACACAAGCGTCTTTCCCTATTGCCAATTCCTTAGTATATCGCTCCGCTCTAATTTCCATTACAATGAAAATTACACTTAACATTGACACTCTGAATGTTAAGTTAACATGCTTCTTGTTTTCCTAGAATCCAATTATGAAATTAGAGAGCTTTGTGAAAGAACAACTAATTCACCTCCTTATTTCCTAATAAAAATGGTGTTATTGATTAAATCTCTTATATGTAGAGTCTGTTCTGTTCTATTCTGTACAAGGTTTAAAGAGAGAGAGGGTTGAGACAGAGAGAACCCTGGGACAAATGGGTTCGACAGCTAACAATAACGTGGCCTCAATTGTGTTCCTTGCCCCCAATCCCTGTTCAAATTCTCACCCGAAACCTATGAATCTAGTTGTGCTTGACAATAGGGCTTGCTTTGCTAGGTTAATGGGGCCTTATCAGTGCAAGATCATCTAAAATTCAATTACTTCTACATTATAAAAAGAACAACTCAACCACAGTTGAGGAATGAATTATGAGGTTCCCCAAGAACAACCGAATGCTCAGGGCTACAACAAGGAAGGAAAGGGCACAAGTAGACCCTGGCTCGAACCTGCCCTCATGCAGTGTCAACATTTCTTGTCAATGCCACCAGCCCTCCTCTCCCATGCACACAACGGAATAAATTCAATTAAAGAATTCACACCTTGGGATTATTCTACTTCTTAATATTAATGCTTTTTCTTTTCAGTTCTCAAAACATCTTGATGGAGTATTCTCTCTCATTTCTTTCCATTTCCTTTCCTGGTGCTAATCACAGTGGCTCTTTACAAAGACGGTAGCTCAATATCTATTGTCAGAACACCAGAAGAGGGGACAAATTGCCTCATCTCATCTACATCTTATTGATTTCAGGTCACACAGAATGCTCTTCCCAGTAATGATTAGATCAGGGGTCAACAGACTATGATCTGCAGACCAAATCCTGCCACTACCTCCGATTATAAATAAGGTTGTATGGAAGCCCAACACCTGTGACCCTTTTTTGTACATATTGTCCATGGCTGTTTTTACAGTACCAGGGTAGAATTGAGTAGTTGCTACAGAAACCATGGCGTCTCACAGTGTAAATATGATCTTGCATGCTTGAAAAAAGTACAGTCAGCAAAAAAGAGGAAGACCCCCAATGAGATTGATGCAGTGGCTGCAAAATGGACTAAAGCATCGCAGTATTTGTGAGGCTGGCACAGTGTTCCCTTCATTCTGTTGTACGTAGGGTCATTCTGTGTTGGAGCTGACTCGACAGTACTCAACAACAAATATACTACAAAAATTACTCATGACTCTTTAAAAGATAAGCTGATCTAGGAAGACTTAGGTTCTGACCATTAGGGATAGAATGGTAGGCCAATGGATGACCAGCAAAATAAAGTCTCACAACCTGAACACAATTAATGAGGATGTTGACACATTGCAGAATATGTAACTAATGTCACAGAACAATTTGTATAGAAACTGTCAGATGTGATCTGAATTTCCTATATAAATTTCCATCAGAAACACAATAAAATGTTATTAAAACAAATAAATAAGCAATCAAAATGGATTCTTTATTATCAGGGGAAGACACCAGGAACCCATTTTCCAGGCCTTTTTTTTTTTTTTAAATGTGGCCATCTGATTAAGCTCTGTCCATTAGAAGGGGGGCAGTGACGGGTGTCTATTTTAGGACTAGCCCTCAATCTGCAATCCTACTTTGGTAACTCGGTGTGTTTGCTTGATGGCTACTTCCCTGATCCTCCGGCTTCCTCTTACACACTTAATATTCCACATTCACTTAGAATTGTGTTGGGTAAATTTTCTTTTTTTAAATTTTTTAATCGTTTTATTAGGGGCTCCTACATCTCATCACAATCCATACATACATCAATTGTGTAAAGCACATTTGAACATTTATAGCCCTCTGTCAGTACTGCAGCCATCGTCGCCAGGCTCTTATGAGCCGCTCTGGTGCTGTGCTGTCAAAGCCAATCCCAATTTTATTCACACATTGTAATTTCTGTACACCCACCTAGATAAGAGAAGTTGGACAAAAAAAAA